ACCACAAGGATACAAACAAAGACCCCCAAATTGAACAGAATCTTGACAGGTTAGTGTCTTTGGTTTGAAACTTACCTATTACTGATGTTATCATGGCTGGTGGCCCACATTAATGACCCTAACCCTAACTCTATCCTAACCCTTCATAATTGTGAGAAATAAATACTTTTTGGTTAAACTTGTTTGGACTTATTGTACAAACCTATTTAACATCCACTATTTTAACATAATATTAAGTATAGAGTTTAATTCAGTCTTTGCAGGATTCATTTCACTATTTTTAAATGAATGTCTATATTGCCATGAAGCAATTAGGATTTTCTTGCCTGGGATCTTCCTATTGGTGACCTAATCAAAATGGCCGACTTGGATGTGGGGGGAGTTGGATATCCATCCTTGACTTGATTAATGTTGGCGTGTTATTATTAGCCATTAGCCGCAGCTAGCAATTCAAGGCTAACATCACGCTAATGATCATACACAACCTATCAATACTTCTGACCACCCTAGTGGAGAACAGGTCAGGTTTGAGGAAACCCCGTTAGCCTGTTTGCTAATGGGTTCGTTCTTAACCCGGTGTTGTGCACACAGCTCTGGCACCTTGTCGGGTTGCTGGATGAAGGTGGACAGGAGCTCCACCAGCTCCAGCAGCTCGCAGGAGCAGTTCCAGGAGTTTAGGTCCAGGTTTAAGTTTCCCAGCCAGCTCAGGTAGGAAAAGGCCTCGGCGGGGGCAGAACTCAGGCGGTTCCTGGAGAGGTCCAGAGTCCGGAGACTCACCAGGCCATTGAAACTAGAACCACAACAGAACCAAAACTAACACTTCTTCTGTAAATGTTTTTGAGAAATCGGAGTCTGATTAAATAAAAGTTTTGAACCTGTTTTCATCCAGACGATCGATCAGATTATCTGACAGATCCAGAGTCTCCAGATCTCGAAGGCCATTCAGGGGGAACGAGCCAGAGTCCACATTCCTGAGCAGGTTTCCCTCCAGTTTCAGACTGATAAGAGCCTCTGTGCCTTTAAACCAATCAGCCTGGATCTGCACGGCAACCGAGATAATCAATCAATGAACTTTAAGGCCAATCTTGCTTCTTATCAAAGCAGGATTGGGATCCATCAAGGCTTGATCAGTTTAACTCGACAAAGAAATGAGTCCAATTGTTAGACATCGACAGCATTAGACTTAGACTTAGACAGTACTTTATTGATCCCTTGGGAAGACTCCCTCAGGAAATTAAGGATGTTTATGCATTTCAAGTGCCCCCCCCCCCCGGTGAGGTACCCACCATGCTGAGGAGGTTGTGGCCCAGGGCGAGCACCTCCAGCTGGGATAGGCCTTTCAGAGCCCCCCCCTCCAGGGCCGGGCCGGTCAGGAGGTTGTGGTCCAGCAGTAGGGTCTGGAGGAAGGGCAGGTTCCTGAAGGCCTCCTGACCCAGCTCTGAGATCCGGTTCTGACTCAGACCTGAGACACAGACGGGAAAGAGATCTGAGCTCTGATGGGGGGTGTGATGAAACCCGGAGTTAAACCGGAGATCCACAGGGGTTCTGACCTAGAACGGTGATGTTGGAGAGGTCGGACAGCGAGGAGGTCTGGACCCTGGAGATGGAGCCCTCAGTAAGGAGCAGGGCCTGTGTCGAACCGGGAGCCTCTGCTCACACACACACACGCACACACGCACACACGCACACGCACACACACACACACACACACACACACACACACACACACACACACAATAAAGTGAGGACCAGGAAAATGTCCTCACTTTCAAAAAAAGACCTCACTTTGTTGGTTAAAAACTACTTTTGGTACTCACTCTGATGCAGCAGCAAAGACACACTCACACACACACACGCACACACACACACACGCACACACACACACGCTCACAACAGGGACCTCCACACCGCCTATAGCGTGATCTAGGGTTGTCACGATACTAAAATTTTCAACTAGATACCGATACTCAGGAAAATACTCCATACTCTATACCATTTTCAATACCACAAGGATAAAAACAAAGACCCCCAAATTTAACAGAATTTTGACAGGTTAGTGTCTTTCATTTCAAACTTACCGTTTACTGATGTTATGGTGGCCCACATTAATGACCCTAACCCTAACCCTGATCCTAACCCTAACCCTAACCTTTCATCATTGTGAGAAATAAATATTTTTTGGTTAAACTTGTTTGGACTTATTGTACAAACCTATTTAACATCCACTATTTTAACGTAATATTATGGATACAGTTTAATTCAGGGTTTGCAAGATTCATTTCACTATTTTTAAATTAATGTCTATATTGCCATGAAGCAATTAGGATTTTCTTGGCTTGGTGACGTAATCAAAATGGCCGATTTGGATGTGGGCGGAGTTGGATATGTACTTGATTAATGGTAGCATGTTATTGTTAGCCATTAGCCGCAGCTAGCAGTTCAAGGCTAACGTCACGTTAATGATCATAAACAACGTAAATAAATACATAAATAAATCTGAGAGAAGGGGGGTGGTATCGATACTTTTGAAAATGAGTATCGTATCTGGATACAACATTTTAGTATCTATACTTTTTAAAGTATCGATACTTTTGACAACCCTAGCGTGATCTTACCAATAATCTGAGAGAGTCTTTGGCAGATGACAGCCTCCTGGGAGCAGAGCAGACAGGAAGTGGGACACGGGGGGGCAGGAGGCCCCTCCTGGGCTCTGAGCACCGGCAGCAGCACCATCACCAACACATCTGAACACAGTCAGGAGCTGAGCGCTGGGAGTCTGTTTTTATTTGTCATTCTGGTGGGAATCCGATGTGTACTACTCACTGATCATGGTGTGTTAAAATGGGAGGAACATGGTGATGAGGCCACATCTCCTCTGTGAGACTTCAACCTGATGCAGGTTCATCAGCGTCCGATTGGCCTGAGAAGACTTTGTAAAACACCAGAATTATTATTTTTTTAAAAGTTTATCCATCCACGATCCAGCACAAGAACAAATTAGTTTTAAATTAACTAAAGAAGAGCACACGGATGTGATCCAAACTACGACTGTGGCTCATTCTGATTGGTAAAACAAGTCGCCCTTTTGCTGATAAAAGGTGAAATTCAGGTTTTTATGAACCAGAGCAGTTCAGAGATTCTTTACCTCTCTGATTTATTCCTGGAGCCACATTTTTGTGGTCATTTTGACGTTCTTGCTTTAAGGCTCTTTGTGGCTTTAATAACTAAACATTTGAAGAACATAAATGGGGTCAGGATTGTTTTGTTTAGCACAGTTTCTATGCTTATCCCCCGTTTATCTTGAGGGCTGTCCACACATTTCCATTGAAAATACAAATGGAGACAGAAGACACACGCTCCTTAAAAGAAAAAAACAGAAAAAATTCAAGCTTTCTTTTAGAGCAAATAAAGTAGGAACACTCATATTTGTGTTGTGGCTTAAACTGAAACACTTCACACATATTTAGAAGGTAACACACACCAATCAGAGGGAGTCTCATGCTTTCCCTTAAAGATCTTGCAGGCTTTTTATTCTTTGTCAGCTCTTAAACTTTGACAAGTATTCCTCTGTCAAATGTCATTTTTAGATCATTTGGGTTTTCCTCTGACCTGAGTTCATTCTGGATCACCTTCATATGTTCATCATGTCCTCATGATGCCAGTAAGTCTTCCTTTTATAGAGCAAGACTTCCAGTTGCTCAATAGAAACTAGAATCTGCTTGACCTAAACCACTAATTAATTGGCCAATAACATATTTTTGGTCTATATATATATCAGAGTTCATCTCAAAACGTGTACGGACAGACTTACCTTCTGCTGTGAACCCAAATGCCCCCCCCATGGCCCACTACGTCCACCTGAGGGTCCGTGAGATGCTTAAGCTGCTTGGTTTACTCCATGGTTTACCGGTTGCTACGGTGACCTGGCTGCCCCCCCCCCCGTCACCTGAGAGCCCCGACGTCACGTCTGACTCACACTGAGCCTCACACCTCCAGCTGAATTATCCAGAGGAAGGAATGACTCTCTTTTTGTAATAAATGTAGTTAGTTTTTATTCACAATTGACAAAATACATTTTTTTTCAAAAGAAAATTACAGTGTGCATAGCAGCAATATGATTATCGTTACTCTATCGTTACTCATTAGGCTCATTAACCTGATCATCAGCAGGACATGAGCACAAGTACGTCTCGCCACATCCAAGGTGGCCATTTTGATTAGGTCACCAATAGGAAGATCCCAGGCAAGAAAATGGTAATTGCTTCATAGACATTAATTTAAAAATAGTGAAATTAATCTGAATTAAACTGTATTAGCTGGGTTTGGGTTAGGGTCATGGTTAGGTTTAGGGTAAGGGTTAGGTTTAGGGTTTAGGGTGGAGGTTTATGGTTAGGGTTAGGGTAAGGGTTTAGGGTAAGGGTTAGGGTTTAAGGTAATGGTTTAGGGTTGAGGGTAAGGATTAGGATTTAAGGTTATGGTTAGGACATTGTTTGTCTTCCGGTTTCGTATAGACAGTAAAGTTTGGTTTCCACCTGAGAAAGCTTCTAGTCACATGACCTAATCAAAATGGCCGACTTGGATGTGGGAGGCTCCTCCAGGCTGCAGCCGAGGCTACTCCATGAGCAGGACCACTTTCCCAGCAGCCCCGGCTGACTGGATGATGTCGTGGTGGGCCCGGGCGGCCTCCCCCAGCGGATACCTGGAGCCCACCGCCGGACGCAGCCAGCCCGCCTCCATCCCCGCGGCAACCAGCGCCGCACACTCCTGTTTCTCACCCTGCCAGAGAGGGAAAACCTCTCAGGGTTTGTGTCTGGCATCCATCCATGTCAGTGCTCCAGCCTTATACTCTGGTGGAAGCAGCTCTGTGGCAGATTTTATTTATTTCGAGGCTTCTTCTTCTTCCATTACCGCCCGATTTCCAGCACCTAACTAGTCCCGTACGGTTCAAAGGATCAGGCCCAAAATCGTCACGCGCGTCCGAACCGACCACGCAAGGTGTTCTTGTCAAAATCTTTCTCATTAGTCACTGCGTTTTTGAATAAACTGCGAAAAAGGCTAAACGCCGTCCCATAGGATATGAATGTGAAGGCCGAAAAACGGGCCCAAAACAGGGCCCGCTTCTAGGCCTCATCACTCAGCCCCACATCGTCAGAGAAACCTTGTTTATACATTGAACGGGTCACGAAAGACGGGCCTCCATCATATTAGAGCCATATCTGAGTCACCAGGCCAGATCTCGCACCGTTTGCCAACAATCCCTGTTTACGTTTTAGTGAAAATCAGGAAATCCGACAATCTGACCCTCTCCAATAGGATTTGAAGGGAATAAAAGACAGACATTTTCAGAATCTGCAGAAACTGCCCTTATTTTGAAAATTGCCATAAAAAACTAACCGGTGGGAGCAGCCGAAAATAAAATACACTGGCAGAGCCCTGCGACCCTCATCGTGCTCACGGTTCGAGTATTTTCCAGCTATCTCTTATAGCTTTCGGACAGCGGGCAGGAGTTCGGGGTCAACTTTTGACCCTAACTATCAGACTGTCAGGTGGCTGCCTTGATGATGATTGACAGCTGTGAAGTTTTGAATGTTGAGAGGTGGGGCCTGACTGCTGTTGCCATGGAGATGAGCTGAGCCACATAAAGCCAGACCAGGTTCCTGGACCGGGCAATAGATGGGCCCCCTTCAAAATTTCTTTAGAAAAGTTAAAGTTGTGTAGTGTTTTCGTACCGGCGTGGCAAAGAAGAGGGCCACTCCCATGATGCAGCTCTCTTTGGCCATGGTGTCCCGGGGATTGATCTCTACGGGGCCTCTGGAGCCAACAACCTTCAGACAAAGATGTAAAGCAGATTAGGGACCGGAGAACTGGTCTATGAGGTCCAGTTTGAGGTCTCACTGACCGCCACCCGCCCGGAGAGTGCCAGCATCTGCAGGTCGCTGCTCAGGTTCACGTTGGACAGCATCTCCACGATCACGTCCACTCCGCGGCCCCCGGTGGCCTCCTGGGGGACACAGGTTTAAGGCAGTGCTTTTCAAATAGTGGGGAACAGTGACCCTGGGGAACAGCCTCTTTTTTTGGGCCGTACTAGTATAAAGTGTAATTGCGCATCCACTCCAGTAGGGGCAGTGCATCACACTGTAGAGGAGCTGAGCAGCTCGTTTAGTAAAAGAGCGATATTCATTCATTCATCCCTGCTGCTACCATACTGTACAACGCTGCACTTTAACAACTGCTGTGCGATTGTGTTATATTCATTGACCTGTGTAATATGTGTACTGTGTGTGAGCCATCAATGATTGTATATATTTTAGTCACCCAAATCTCTGTGCTGTGTTGCTTCCTTGTATATTTGTTTGTTTTTGCTGTACTTTATGCACCTTTTCCTCCTTTTGAACTCCGATGTGTGACCAGTGAATTTCTCCAATGTGAGATCAATAAAGCTCTTATCTTCAGTGCAACATTTTACGATTTACAAGACAACAGGTTAGCCTCGGTTAGCAGTGCTGAGTCAACAGAAAGCTCAGACTGCGTTCTGTCTATAGCCTCTGTTATTCAACATAAAAACCCCCAACATGAAAAAGTTTTTAATGGGGATTAAAGAAAAGCGGAGAGAGACAAAGATAACGACACAAAAGAAAGTCACCCGAAAGCTAAGTGTTTTATATATTAGTTAATGTTGCTGAACTGAATATAAATTAGTTATTATTATTTATTTATTTTTTAGTTTATTAGTTATAATTATTAAATATTATTTATTGATTTGATTTCATTTTGCAATGGTGCAATTAGTTGGTCAAACACGTTTACAGTTTAAACAAGGATTTATTTATTTTTTATTTCAGGCATTGATGCACTTAAAATCTTTTCTGTTGCAGACTTAAAACACGATTTAATACAGTTATTCTTTGTAAGTTTGACCATAAGTCTTTCTTTGTTTCTTCTCTTTAATGTTAATAAGGATAAAATGTTATGCAGAGATGGATAGTCACGGTGGCGAATAGTTTTCTTCTTGCTAGGGGGGTAACAGAGAATAATTGAGAAGCACTGCTGTAAGGACTGAGGTCTGGAGGGGTCTCTGTTCCCTGCTCATCTTTTTGAGTGTGGGTACCATGATTTGGTCGGTGTAGCCCTCCTCTCGGTGGTTGAAGGCCCTGTGGGCTCCGTTGTCCAGAGCCAGCTGCATCCCCCCCGGAGTCCCCGCCGTCCCCAGCACCCGGAGGCCCAGAGCCCGGGACAGCTGGCAGGCAGCAACCCCCACCTGTAAGGGGGGGGGGGGTGTTCAAACTCAGAGAGCCCACTTTAAAGGGGACACTATCAAAATGACTGAATTGTTGGGTTTCTGTAGTTAACTTCAGAGTAGGTCTGAGCTGCTCTGTTTGGAAAGCTGTGAGATAAACAACTGTTGTTGTGATGTGGCGCTATAGAAATAAAATTGAATTGAATTAATTTTAATTTTGTAATGTCATTGTCTGAACGTGTGTTTGGACTGATTTTGTATTGTGTGATTTTGTGTTGTTTGGTCTTCCTGCCTCAGGACCACAGATGTAAACTAGCAACTATGCTAGAATCTGGCTCATTTACAATCTGTATGAGATTGTTCATTAATGTGCACTGTCCTGATTAAAGAAATAAATAAATAAATAAATATTATGCAAAACCAAGTTTTTAATCATGTGATTGTGTACATTTGGGACTGTGGAGGGCCTATCAGCAGGAAAAGGGTTAAAAAAAATGACTGGGTCATGTTTTTGTGGGCCGCCTCAGTCTGAATCCAGGAGATAAATCAGGAGGTTTCAGGAGTGGGTAGTTTCTGACCTCATTAGCTCTAGCTCATTAGAATATTATTATTATTATAATATTAATATTATTATATATTATCTAGCTCATTATAATATTCCAGCCTTTCACCTGCATGTTGCCCCCCCCCTCAGCTTACTCCCCTATCTGTGGAGACGTCCTGGTAGCGTGAGCGTTAGCATGGTAGCTTTAGCACGGTAGCGTTAGCATGGTAGCATTAGCGTGGTAGCGTTAGCGTGCCGACGTGGGCACACCTCCTGAAGAAGTGGGTGGATTGCCTGTGTCTCATTTGCATTTAAAGAGACAGGCACTCCAAAGCGAGCGCTCTGAACGGGGCTGTTTTGGGTTAGGGTTAGGGTTAGGGTTAGGGTTAGGGTTAGGCAGGGGGACTGAACTGCTATTGGGCTTCATCCTTATGGGATTCTGACCAAAGCTTGGCACAGACATTACATCAGGACACCAGGGAACTAGCTTAACTTGTTGAAATAGAGTATAATATGTCTCCTTTAAAAAGCAGCCTTTGTTACACTGAGAAAGAGAGAAGAAGAGCTCCTCTGTCCTCTCACTGGAACAAGCACTGGGTCGTCAGCTAGAGGCTCAACTCAAGGTTTCCAACGTTTCTCTTGACAAATTTGGATTTGAGAGTATAACAAAACAATTGGGATAATTGCATGATTCTATTGATTACTTTCTGGTCAAACAGACCGTACACTTGTACTGGGGTCTGGTCTTGACAGGGAGTCCGGTGCTTTAGACACTTTGGAGGATTTTAGCTCATTGAGTATTGTCTTTCTGTTTGCTTTTGGGTTTATTGGTGTGTTTTGCTGATGTATAAAAGCTCAAAAACTGCTCTCACCCCCCCGCTGGCTCCATGGATGAGGACGGTCTCTCCAGCTCTGGCGTGAGCTCTGAGGAACACCACAAAGCAGGTGAAAAGAAGAACGACTTTAGCGTTTTTCAGCTCACAGATGAACATTACAACTAAACACACACAGATGTTGTAAAGCTAAATAAAGTGTTCACACACACAAAAACTGTTTCATCTCAGGCAGCTCCAGAGTTTGTGGGGGACCAACAGACTCTGTTTTTTATGGTTTTTCTAACTTTGTTTTACCTTGTTTGGTCTCTGCATTTGTCCAAATTCTGCCCCAAAATCTTTTGAATAGAAATGAAAGAAGACATAAGTAACTCCGGACTGGTTTTAGCAGGGCTCACCAACTCAAAAGGAAACTTTTCAAACATTTTACAGACACACTATTAACTCCTTATGATGCAAATGTCAAAACCAGAGAACAAAAAACAGCTGAGGGGGTTATTGTGATTAATTACTATTAAAATAATTTTAAGAAATTGAATTGACAACTTCCCAGGACTTCTGAACCATCAGAGCTGCCAAACATCGGCCCGATTACTAACAATGTGTGTTCTTACTTATGAACCAGAGCTCTGTAGGCGGTGAAGTACGGTATGCCGATGGCCGCCCCCTGTGTGAAGTCCAGAGCTCCGGGCAGCCGGTGGACGCTGTCCTCTGCTGCTACTGCATACTCTGCATAGCCTCCGGACTCGGTTGCCGTGGTGAACACACGGTCGCCCGGCTGGAAAACACTCAGGATGTTTTTGGGAGGGGCCAAAGCCACAACAAGCTCCTACAGAGGAGGCTGGTACACACACAAACACACACACACACACACACCTTGACCACGCTGACTCCCTCTCCAACGGCCTCCACCACTCCGGCTACATCAGACCCCGGCGTGTAGGGCAGAGCCGGCTTCCGGGAATAGGCTCCAGAGCGGATGTAGGTCTCCACAGGGTTCACCCCACAGGCGTGGACACGGATCAGAACCTGTGTCACAGCCAGAGGAGGGAGGCAGAACACACACCTCTGGGATTATTAAAGTATTTCTGATTCTGACAGAAACAGCTCAGACTGTCCCATGTCCATGTGTCCACCCCCAGAAAACAGGGACACTCCTCATATGAGCCCAAAAGGCCAGGTCCTACACCAGGCATTTAGCAGCTTTGTCCCACAGGTGCACATTCTGTGGAGTTTTTGGTGAATTTGTTACGTAAAAAGATTTTTTAGACACTCAAACATAAGTTAACATTAAATCTGGCTTCAAGTCGACTGTCTTCTGGATGCTCCAGCATGTTGGATATTTATAATAAAGAACCTTTTCTACTTTGTTGTTGGTTTATGAAACAGGTTGTGCATGTAGTGACAGTTTTATTTATTTATTTTTCTTAGTGTTTGTGTATCTTGTCATTCTTTTTTTTACTCATTTATTGCACAGTATACTGTTTGTTGTGCAGCACTTTGGGCAAATGTAGTTTTAGTTACATGTGCTGCATAAATAAAGTTGACATTGACAAAAGTGGTGTCGTGGCTGTTCAGCTTATCAGATCTGAGGAAATGACACCAAGAAAGAGAGAAGCACGTTTGCTGTGGGATCCATAGACATAAGGTGGGATCCTCTGGCTGGGGGCTGCTTCCGGCTGGCCACTCACCTGTCCCTGAGCGGGCTGCGGGACAGCCACATCTGGGCACAGCTGGAGGACTGACGGAGCCCCGAACTGGCTCACCCTGATGGCCCTCATCAGCCTAACGGCCGACATGTCTGCAGGCCGTGGCTCTGAACACGTTACAAAAGCAAAACCTGACAGGGAAACGGCCCACAGTCCCTGAACTGTGCAATCTGGGACTCTGATCAGCGCTTCCGGGTCTTATTCTTCTTCTTCTTGGGCTTTAATTCGCGTTCAGAGCGCTTTGCCGCCACCAGGTGGCCTGGAAGACCATGGAGGGACTCGCTTTAAACGCTTTAAATGCTTTTATGAGCTGTCGTAAGTGTTTGTTGTGTGTTAGTGGGGAATGGTTTTGTAATCTGGTCATAGATAATATCACATTAATCGGTACACATCTGAATATTCATCATGTTTGTGTACAAACTGCCTTCAATGCTTGACATCGCGATTGTATATCACTTTAGAAACTGCTCTTCTTTTAAACCTGGATTATGCTGTTGCAATTTTATGATCTGTGTTTTTGTTTTTTGGCACATAACTGATTAAACACCTGACTCCCAGGTGACTAACCAGGTCCTGGATCGACCAAATCGCAGATTGAATAACTTCCGTTTTGGCCTGTGTCGTCACATCCGGTGGGGAAGATCCGGCGCCGGGCTTTGACGTCACATCCGCTCGTGCAGCTCTGACAGGGGAGTCAGTTTAATAACAACCGGAGCAGCACTTCCACGTGAGGAGAGAGTCGCCTGGAGGTCCTGAACGGGACGAATGAGGAGCGAGAGGAGGCGGCTGTCCTCCGTACCGAGCATCTGGGTCCTCCGGGTCCGCTGAGGCCTCCGTAACCGGTCCAGATGGCGGCTCGGAGCCGGGTGCTGCTGCAAAGGCTCCTTAGAGCCGGGTCCGTCTGGTCCCAGAGGCCGGGGGGAGGACGCGCGCTGTGCGGGGCTCCGCAGAGCCGCCCGGGCTGCTCAGACTCCCGCTACAGGCCGGTCCCGGTCCCGGTCCAGGCCTCCTCCGGTACAGGTAAGGGGGCAGGAGGAGGGGGGTGTGGGGAGCCCTGTACCCGCTGGAGGTGTGACCTGCTGTCCTCTGCTGGTCCCAGGTCCCAGCAGCCTGTCCCTCAGGAGCCACACCTGTGGAGAGCTGAGGGCGGAGCACGAGGGGGAGAAGGTGACCCTGTGCGGCTGGGTCCAGTACCTCAGGTACATCATAACCCTAACCTCTGAGGGTTTATAAGACTAGCCGATATAGAGGCAAAGAGCCCTGTTTACTGAGAAAAAGCAGAAACTAGAATGGCTCTGAACCAGATATTATGTAAATGTTCCACCTTTCTGCTGGTGTTTGACCATCCCAGAGGTGCTAAATTAGTTTTTTCTGACCCCAACAGACAAGACCTGTTCGTCATCCTGCGAGATTTCAGCGGCTTGACACAAGTTCTGATCCCTCAGGAAGAAGTAAGAAAGCCAACAGGAGCTAGTGGGTTCGGATGAGCTCCGGTCAGCTGGGATCTGATGGGTCACTCAGAGGGTCACAGACACATGGCTGACCTTTTAGACTTAGACTCAGCTTCATTTATCCCCTTTATTTATTCCCTTCAGGGATTCAGGGTTCCAGTAGCTTATGTAGAGGACAAAAGAGAAAGAGTATATGTTTCCTTTAGATATAAAGTAAAGAGCAGAGAAAAGACTACACAGTAGATAGATAAAACAGTTCTGAGTATAAGTAAAAATACTATACAGACTACACAGTAGTTGGCACCTGTTATTTTGCAGTGAGAAAGAAGAATATTACACAGTTTCCAGCTTCCTATCACCTCCATCTTCCCTGAAGTGAGGAGTTGTACATCCTGAGGAACAAAGGAGTCCAGCACTCTGTTTTCCTCCATTTAGGCAGCAGCCTCCTCTGATTTCATTCCTCTGATTTCAGTCTGAGTCCCGTCTGAAAGCGCTGCTGTGTGGTCTCACCGTGGAGTCCGTCGTCAAGGTAACGGGCACCGTCAGAAGGCGGCCGGCGGGGCAGGAGAACCAGGTGGGTGTGCGGGGTCAGAGGAGGCGTTTCCCCCCCGAGGCACCGCCCTGAACCCCCCCCCCCCCCCCCTCTGCCCCACAGGGGATGCCCACCGGGGAGGTGGAGCTCCGGGCGGAGCAGGCGGAGGTCCTCAACGTGTGCCGGAAGCTGCCGTTTGAGATCAAAGAACACGTCAAAGTAAACTCACAGGGCGGGGGGGGGTGGTTGGATGGGGTCTGTTGGTTGGACCCTGAGGCTGACGGGGGTCTGGATCTGGGCTGGACTCTTCACAGAAGTCGGAGGCTCTGCGGATGCAGTATCGATACCTGGACCTGAGGTCCGCTCAGATGCAGAGAAACCTTCGGCTGAGGTCTGAGCTGGTGATGAAGATGAGGGAATATCTCTGCAATACGCACGGTATGACAGAGCTCTGAAGCCTATCCCGTTATTACATCCATTTAGATTTGTTTTTAATGACTTTATCTGATTTTTTTCTAGGATTTGTGGATGTGGAAACACCCACTTTGTTCAAAAGAACCCCCGGGGTAAGAGGCTCCTCTAGTCTTTTATCATAGCACGTCTTTTAGGCCATCTTCTCTGTGAGTGAGCGGTGGATGTGGTGGATCTGTGTGTGTTTCAGGGGGCCAAAGAGTTTGTGGTTCCCTCCAGAGAGCCGGGTCTGTTTTACTCTCTGCCGCAGAGCCCTCAGCAGTTCAAACAGCTCCTCATGGTGGCCGGCGTAGACCGGTAGGAGCCCGGGCCCCCCCTCCAGCCTCTGTTAGCCGTTAGCCTGTTAGCTGGTTAGCCTGTTAGCTGGTTAGCCGTACATAACTAAGTGACATAAAGAGCCACAAAAGAATCTTTAGCAGATGTTAAAGACTTTTGCTGGACTCAGACACCTCCTGAGTTAAATGGGGATGTTGATTTCTAATATTTGGACTTGGAAATAAGTGCGTTTGACAACAGGGGGAAAGAGACGGTGCAGGCAGCTGAAAATCAGACATTTTTTTCTCAGTCTACCTGAAATACCTTAAATTTTGTTTGATTATAAGATACAGATAATGTTAAATAAAGACTTTTAACTTGTCCAAATCAAAGTATATCTAGTTTTAAAAGCAGAAACTATCATGAGAACATAATATAAAGTATTTTATCCTTTTATTAGTCCATTATTATTGTTTGATAATACTTTAATAAGACTTTTTTGTTTTGTTTTAGACTAGCTGCTGGGACTCTTCTTTCTAACTGAACGTGATGGAGTAAAAATAGAATATTTTAGTTGCAGCTGTTTTCTGTGTGCTAGGTACTTCCAGATAGCTCGCTGCTACCGGGA